CTAACACAGCACACATCAGAGTAGTACGAGCAAATAAATGCATGTGTACTAAGTTAATGACCTTTTTTTTTTTAAAGGAAGATGTCCCAACTGGGATACACAGATGGTGTTTTGACGCAGGGGAGGGGGAACTACGACTGGTGTATAATGTAGGAGAATCGTGTATGCGAGGAATATCCCCTACAGCGAATAAATTACAGTATAATCACAAGCAGTCACAGATAATAAACTTCCCAGCAGCAGCAGCAGCCTGTGTTGACATGGTAATGGCACAAAGTAGCAGCCGCATCAACTTGCCACGTCAATTTAAATGTCCAGGTAATACACGGCGGCAGCATTGCGGGGATAGTGCGGAGATATAACATCGTAAACAGACACACTGCGCTACGGCACAGCGTTAAAACTTACAGATACGTAATTTAAACAAACTCACCGGCATCATTTTAGCTTCGTACCGCATTTAGCTAACCAACACAGCATGAATCCCCGCTGGCAGTTTCGACGAAAGCGGTGCGGGACTGACGATCACTTTAATCCCAGAGCCTAAACCCCGCGACAGGCAAGGCTACTTTCTCCTGCTTCAGGGGTTCCGTCCTGCATTTAAAAAAACAAAACAAGACACAGCGTTATTTTTTTGACCGAGAAAGATGTCCAACAGTAAAACCCACTCGTGATAATTGCATCCCGTGTCGTGGACCTGTTGCTACAAATAACAAGGCCTCCATGACAAAAGTTTCCGTTGTAGTTGCGCGAGCATCGCTTCAGAACTTTGTAACGGCTCGTTGCTCGCGAGAGGTGCCTTAAAAAACACCAAGGTTTGTAAGAAAGATGCAAATAAAGTAAGCTAGAACCTCTGGGGTAGATATTAGATTTTTTCTTTTTAGCTTTTACTTACCAGAGGACGTGTAGGTAATGAGCCCGAAACCCCGCTGACTGACAGTGTTGCTCGGTAGCTCGCAGCCTATCCCGGAGTGACGTAGCGGGAGAAACTCGGTCCACTGTGGAATTCAGGCTCCGCCTCGATCCGGAGCTGAAACTCCCCCACCGGCCGGACGGCTCACTGGAGATGTAATACAGTACACTAGTGCGACCAAAAGAAAAAAGAAAAAAAAACAGCTCAATATCCTCAAAAGTTTACTATACATCGACTCTATTCACTTACGAGGTTGTGAGCAGGAAATTAAACCCAGAGGAGAAGCAGGATAGGCAGGAATCATGAGCGGAGTGTGACAAAGGTGAGAGGTCTCACTCTGCTCACAAATCACAAGTCGGAAGGTAAAGCTGAAGTGGTAATGGCTAGCAAGCTAATCCTGGTATTTGACAGATTGCTTCACTTCTGAAAGGAAATCTTTGAATGAAGCATCCAAATCTACAATAGCTAGGTGAAAGTCAGAATCTGTTTTCACGCCAAGTAGGTTTTCACATAGGAGAAATTTGTTTTAGTAGAATTAAAAATAAAAAATAAAAATAATTAAAGATTTTTAAAAAGCAAGTAAGTGTTGCAGGATAAATGAGGAGTATACATTTTAAGTGCAGCCAATCCAAGAAATTTCAAAAGTTAAAAAGAAAAAGTAATAGAATTTTTTGGCATTTGTGCAGAAACATGCAAATGATACCTGAAATTGTGCTATACATGCAGTTCCTACCATTTTTTATCTGAACTCTTAAAGGATGTGCACATGGTGTTTATTTACAAAATAAGAAGTCAAAGCCATGGCTGAGCATTTCCACTTTAAAATTGCAATGTACCATTACGGTCTCAAAACAAAATGCAGACAGCTTGGATTTGTAATTATTATTATTATTTTTTTAATGCCATATACTTTAGTGATCCTGCAAGGGTGAATTGTATTTTTTCCATCCTGTTAGTAAGCTGGGTTCAGAGTGCAGGGTGACACCCCTGGAGCGGACAGGGTTAAGGGCCTTGCTCAAAAGCCCAAAACTGATCGCTTGGTGGTGCTGGGGCTTGAACCACCACCCCTCTGGCTGATCAGATTTTTGGGAATAAATCCATCAAAAGTGAGCTGGTGGAAGCAGTTGTGTGAGTTACATTTAAGTCATTTTAAGGCACAGAGGAATTATTTTCATGAAGCAAAAAAAAACAAAACTTTTTGATACAGAGAGGTGAGTTTTTTATGGGTTAAATCAACAACTGAAAAGGGACTTTAAACAAGCTACGTTGGATCTTTGACAGAGTTACCTCCTTTATTTTTTGAATGGGTTGCCAAATCTACAATCACTACATGCACTTCCTGCAATTGCTTGATACATTTGTTGAGTGTATCTTAATACAATATTTGCATGTCAGTGTAGATATGCTCATTGTAGATATTCCCGTCTAAAACATTTTCATTGTAACAGATGGAGGACACAAGTCATAGTCCTCACCTGTTTAAAGCTGGAAAAGTTCTTAGAAACCTTCTGTATTGTATTCTCCCTTTGTGCTTCATGGATTCGTTTTTACTTGCTAAACACAACAGAAGGATCATATTGATTCTGTTTTAAGAACAGGTTTGAAAATATGCAAACCTGTCCTTTAACTTCTGATATCTCTGTTTGAATTAGGATTAGTCACCAAGTTAGCAACTAAACTTAAGGCACCAGCCCTACTCTAAATGGCTGTAAAAGATCAAATTCATCGTTCCTGAATTCAGATAATCTATGACTGTGCATGTAGGCTTACTGTCATTCTCATGGCAATACTTGAATACAACAGATTCATTAATAATGTTATTAGTAATGCTTGAGCTTTTGCTGCTATATCAAGTCATTATGTCTGCTGCAAAAAAAAGAAGAAAATCTTTATGCACTATTAAACTTTTACCATTTCAACTTGACATGACAAGGGCCTTACAATGGGTTCTATTTGTTTCCCAGTCTTAATGCCATTTTTTAGTACAGTGGTGACTCGATAATCCAACCCTTAGCAAACCGAAAACCTTGCTATCCGACAGGTTTTTAGGAAAAACGAACGGAACCCATGAAAAATAGCCTTAACATACCGACAGCCTTGGATTCCAACTTTTATGTCACAAATAAGGATAACGGCGTATTATCTGACTTAACAATCCGGCAGATTGGCTACGTTCAGACTGCAGAACTTAATGCTCAATTCTGTTTTTTTGTGAAATGAGATTTATTTTTTGCCAGTTTGTTCACATTTCCAATTAAATGCGACTTGTATGCGACTTGCAGCAATTTCCCTGAGGTTTCCACCAAGGGGATCAATAAAGTTTTATTCTAATTATTCTATTCTATTCTATTCTATTCTATTCTATTCTATTCTAGCTGCTGTGTGAACTTCCGGACCCAGAAGTGTCCCGCATGCGCAGAAGAGAACATGATGACGTCACACGCCGCGAACGTTCAAATGGTGGCGGCGGCGGGAGAGTGATGCTGCTGCGCTGCCGCCACCACCGATGGTAGAAACAGAAGTGTGACCGCTGGCTAAACTGGCATCAGCAGGCAAGTACTGCCTGTGCATTCCGGCCACTTCCACCCCGTAGGAGCGCACCCCCGGGGTAGAAGTGGCCGCCCCTGACCGCGCCGAATATTCTGATATTCATCATTAATTAGGCCTGAATGTCCAGAGACCAGAAAGTGCTATTTGGACCAGCCCTACTAGTTATCATAACAACTATATAAAAATAAACCTTAACAACAAATTACCCTTAAAGCATCAAGCCCTCCTTGTGTCTCGACCTCCATCTTGAAAATTGCTATCCCACATAAGGTTTTACATTTAGTGTCGGATTATCGAGTCACGACTGAATTTCAGTTTGGCTTTAAATGTTCCATATTTTCAATTATTTTGCCTATAATCAAATGACAAAGGGGCTGACGGAGTTGGACGAATAGAGGGTTAATGGGGTCCTTAAGGCCACCAGCTCATTTTTTTAGTTTTTCCTAGCAGCTTATGCAAGTCTTGTTTTTTATATAGTACACTTGAAACAACAGATGTTGACCCAAAGCACTTTCTTACAGAGAAATAAGGTTAATGTTACAAATGTGCATAATTTACATAATAAATTTGCATATTAAGTAACTACCCTACAACAGTATTTATCACACAAACTTACCTAACAATTTTATTAAGGTTAAAACCCTACAGTAATGTTTATTATACAAATTTATCTGACTATTTAAAATATTAAGATTATTAACTTATAGCATTATATACTATATCAAGTTATCTGACCAATTTTTAAAAATTAAGAGTAGGATCCTACAAAATTGTTTGATCTGTCCATAACTGTTAGTGTTTTAAAATAGTTTAACAAGTCATAATTTTGACTGAAAAATAGGATAGTTTTTGATAACTTAAAGAAGCTTACATCAACTCCTACCACATAACTGACATTTCTTTAAGATCTCTGGCAATCAGATAAGACTGGCTGGATTTTGTAAATAGTTTGCATGGGAAATGTCAAACCACATCTTGTAAAGATTGAATAAATTTTACGTCTGACTTTTTCCAGACTGGAATAAGTGCAGTTCAATAAAGCAACTGCTTACTAATGAGCAATGACATTATTCTGTTATGAATCCAAGCATTCATCAGTAAATACGTAAATTAACCATGATAAAATAAATTGTCATATGAAAAAAACTGAGTAAACTATACAGCATAATAGATAATAAATAGATAAATAATTGGATTTGCTGGGTGGTGACGACATTACTGTATTGACAATTATAGTCACCAGGAAAAACAAGAAATGTTAAAAACAGATCTATAATAGAATTGTATTTCTATTTTGTGTAGAGATTTATCATCCATCTATTCAGATAACATTTTATTTTACAGTATACCATCACAGATACCTTGGGGATTCTCAGGCTAGACGTTTTTTTCAACTCAGAAGCGCTTTCTCTTCCACTATATAGACGATCTTTAAAAACCTTGGTTTCGACTACAACTCCCAGAATTCCATTTCAACGGCGAGTCAAAGGTTCAAACCCGCTTGCAGTAGCAGAAGCACCACCACCACATTACCTTGTGCACGTTGGTTCCTCCCTGCGCGTCCGCAGCTCTCAGCAGTGCAGGTGTTTTGCATAAGGGAGTTACTCTCTTTCGTGTCCACAGAGAGACGCTACCTGGAGCCATGGCTGAGCAGGTGGCTGCCATGTGTGAGCAGCTTATAAAAGCTGTGAATGTGATGATGGACGCAGAAACAAGCCAAATTTACCGACTGGAGGCCCTAAAGGTAGCATCGTTATGGGGTTGCTAGCTAGCTGCTAGTTAGCTGAGCTTGTCATGTGAAGGTGCTGTGGTAAATTTATAACAATAACGTGGCTGTTGTCGCTGAATAAACTGTCAGTGTTTATCAGAAGTGTCTTAGCACAGGAATGGCCACACTCTTCGCTAACGTTAGTTAACATTAGCTTCATTTGCAGTGATGATGGCCATATGGTTTGCGAGTTAGCCGGTATGTCATGATAATCACCACAGCCACTGTCGACTCATCCATTCATACAAATGCTAACATCTGGTTTAATACTGACAAACTGCGGAGGGTTGTTGAATACATGTCGGTTTATTAACGCCAACAACGCCGTTGTTATGTTGCTAAAGGCAACAGTACCTTTCAATGGAAAGGCTAGTTGGCAGGTTAGCTTTATGCTATTCGGGTATTTATTATAATGTTTATGAGTTAGCTGTGCCTGTTTGACACATTGCATGACAATATTAGCTGAATTTGACCATCATTTTATAACTGTGTTCCGTTTAGGTAAGCGAGTTGTTTATAAAAGAAGTGATTTTTTTCTTTTCTATTTCATCCATGACAGTTCTGTGAAGAGTTTAAAGAGACAAGCTCCCTCTGTGTCCCATGTGGCTTACAATTAGCTGACAAAGCCCAGCCTGCTGTAGTGAGACACTTTGGTTTGCAAATCCTGGAGCATGTCATCAAGTGAGTGGAACGAGACAAACATGGATCAAATATTACAAAATATAATGTAATAAAAGCTCCAAATGTGACATGAAACATATCTTTGTTGTAGGTTCCGATGGAACAACATGCAGCAGCAAGAGAAAGTCCAGCTGAAGGAGTGTGCCATGCAGCTGCTATCAAATGTAAGTGTTACAGTCATAGGCTGCTAACAGCATAACCATCTGTCTTATGGTTCTATTGGAACCTAAATGCCCCATATGGTGAAAATAAAGTTTTGTTTTGTTATAAACTTGGTGGTGTAAACTGAAGCTGTTAAGTTAGGAAGACTTCTGCTGTTCCTTAAGCACCTCAACAGTGAGAGCCAGTTAAAGTTTTAGTGAAATGCAATGTACCAGCTGAGGAACCAATAGTCATAAAGCTCAGACTTTGCATAATCCCGTCCCCTCACTGTCTCACCGCTGCTTGCAAGGTGAACCATTCTGAAAGAGCTCTTACCTCACAGTCCACCAGGTTTGCTTACCTGCACCAGATGTTCTATTGTTGCCTACAAATGTGTCGATGGCAATGTCACAGCAACCACAGAAGAATCCTTAGTGCGTTGCATGGCTAATGCGGCTAACGTTGTCATTAGTTCTGATGGTCGCCTCAGCCCAGACTGATATTGTCAGACAGCAAAATGAATATAAAATACTGACTGAAATAGAGCCCATTTAGACTTCATGTTATCTGTCACTTTAGAACCATTTCCCCAGTTGCTGCTCTGCAAAACTAAAATACTGATTTTATCACCACAGTGTTTGACAAACTCATCATACTCATGAGTTTAAAACAGCAGCTCTGCATCAAAGTCAGTGATATTTCCACGTAAAATCACCACTGAAAGGTAGAAGTGATAGACAGTCTTGGTCTCACATCTTTGGTGGCTGCTGTGCAGGCAGCTGTGTTGCTTAGAACAGGGATAAAATCAGGGGTTATACAGTCATGGGGAAATGAACCATCTTTGCTGAATTTTGAGCTGAAAATTGAAAGATACATTCTGGAGACATGATACTTTTCATTCATTTGCTGAAAAGGGACACAATGTGGGACCTTTAAAGACCCATTTGTAGACATATATTTATGTTATTGGGTCTTTTCAGGGTACTCGTACCATCCTGGAGGAGGAGAGCCACGTCAAAGACGCCCTGTCACGAATCATTGTGGAAATGATAAAGAGAGAATGGCCTCAAAATTGGCCCAACATGCTGACAGAGATGGAAGCTCTCACTAGCCAAGGGGTGAGTAGTTACATGTATGGCGCCTCATATCTGCGTATCACTTGTTTCCTTCTCCAGCAGCTCGGAATCACTTTGAATAGGATTATATAATAACTCACATGCAAATATGTACCAGTTGAGTGTTAGTCATATTCATTTTCATATGACCTTATCATGGAAAGTTGGTCACTTGTAGATATCATCACCTAGGGATGTAAACAATGTCATTATTGTTAAGCTGTTGTTGTAGACTAGTTGATTGTAAGTTAATAACTTGGACTGTGTGCCCATCATAGGAGGCACAAACAGAGCTGGTCATGTTGATCCTTCTGAGGCTGGCGGAAGATGTGATAACCTTCCAGACACTGCCCCCCCAGCGACGCAGAGACATCCAGCAGACACTCACCCAAAAGATGGAAAATATATTCAGTTTCATGATAGCCATTCTGCATATTAATATTGAAGACTATCGCAAACAGGTCAGTTATTGTTGTGATACTAAAAATAGAAATGTGACAATAAAGTGACCTCAACAGTGTTCTGATTATTTATTTATTTATTTTTTTTAAACTAGAAAGAGTTACCTGGACATGAACTTCAGGTGAGGACAACATCACTGCATCTCTTTTCTAAAATGAACCTTCTTACTCTGATTGCTCTGGGGTCACTGTTTGCTCTCTCCCCTCCTTTTTTTTTGTCCCTCAATTTTCCACACACAGGCCAGAGCTCACTGTCGAGTCGCTGTGGCTACGCTGAATACACTCGCAGGCTACATCGACTGGGTGTCCCTGGTGCACATTACCTTCAGAAACTGCCATCTGCTGGAGATGTTGTGTCTGCTGCTGAGTGAACCGGAGCTGCAGCTGGAGGCAGTAGAATGTCTCCTCATTGCTATGAGCCGCAAGGTGAGTTGCGGGGAGAACACATGTTTATCTCTGTGTGACAAATAATTATCACAGTGTGGTATCTTAAAAATATCATACCAGATTTTACCGTACTTTGTTAGAGTCGGATCAAGGGGAAAAAAAACATGGTGCAGCTCTAAACTGAATCAGATTAAGAGCGCTACCATGGGGCTATTTATAACCCGCTTATTTAGCTCATTTCTTCTGAGTTAAGAGGTGTTAAAGAAAATGTCATTTTCTCTGAAATCTTACCGATCTTGCCATTCGTCCTTGGACAGTTACTAAAAGCTTCAGAGAGGATTAGGTTATCTCCACAAAATTAAATGCTCTATCAGCCAATCAGCATACTTGATTCTGATACAGCTGGAGATATTTCAGTAATAAAATAAGTTATTCACTTCATTTAGCAGATTATGCAGTCTTGGTAGAATTTCTTGTGTGTCTTTCTATTGTGTTTACATGCACTACAGCATCCTTGTTATAGGGCTTATCCCAGTTTTGAATATATTCAGGATATTGTGTTTCTATGGAGCACAGAAAAATCTGTCTATTCATATGCTGGTTACTGATTACTGTGTGCCAATTGCACTGGCGCCTGTGATGTTTACAACACAAACTGGAAATTAAATCTAGAGTTCCTGTAATTGTTACTTCAAATTAATCTGTCTGAAGCTATTTAAAATGAGTTTTGCAGCAGGTTTAACACTGTTAAAGGCCAACCTTGCATTGTGGAGCCACCTTATTGCCAGCAAAGAAAGACCAGAGTGACAGGAAAGGTTAAACATGTCCTCCATGTTGACTGGTGTCAGGCTGCCAGGCTGTCGCTGCCACTACTGTGTAGGACAAGGCAGTGATGGATGAAAGTACACAGATGTAACTGGTAGGACAGGGACATAGTGATGGAGTTCAATGACCCCAAGTGCCAACAACATTTCTATGACAGTAGGGCATCTTTACCAGTTGTGTGACAAAGCTGACAGTTACCAATAAAGTGGCAGTAGAGTTGTACAAACTAGGCAGTTGTGGGCAAGAATCCATGCAGATAGTTTGTGTTTCTTTTTACATCACTAGGCTAAAGCTGCACCAGCACAAGTGGAAGGCAGCAGCACTTATAAACCAGGACGTGTGTACATTTAGCAATATGCTGTATTGCTTCTGAGTACTCCAGCTAGCATAATCGGGTTTTACAAAACCAGGAAAAGGGCTTAATTCAGGTTTCTGAAGGATAAGATGTTTACATGTGTAAACATAAAAACAGGATACCACAAAAGCTTGGTCATAACTGGGATTCTTCAGTTCATGTGCTGAGATGAGTAATGCTACAGTTTTATCAGATTCAATTTAGGAAAGTCTTTGTAAGTTGACAAATAACCAACATGAAACTAACAAACACAGCCCATTTGCGATGTAACGTGTCATTTCATTCTGCCGCAGGGCAAGCTGGAGGAAAGGAAGCCGTTCATGCTGCTGTTTGATGATGTGGCCATCCACTACATCCTGTCTGCAGCACAGTGAGTACAGCTGCTTCTCTCCATCATTCTTCTGTGCAGACTTCAACTTGTGATTTTTGCTTCTATTTATTGTTTTTTGTGTCTGGTTGAAGGTCAGCAGATGGACTGGCGATATGTAAGAAATCCCCTGAATCACGGTAAGTCATGTGACATATGTGTTCTCTGTGGAACTCAAAACACATGCAAGTTTATTCAGCACAAGAGACTTACTGTGTGTACCTTCAGAGCAGTGGAGGTGGTGGAGCGGCGGTACATCTTCCTGAAGAGACTCTGTCAGGTCCTGTGTGCTCTGGGAGGCCAGCTCTGCTCATTAGTGGTGAGCACATGACTTTACATTGACTTTTAATGGGGTTTGGTTCACATACTCATACTATGTGAATATCAAAGAAGCGTTGTTTAGCAGTTTAGCCTTTGTCTTTTGGATTAAGGAGATGTTGTGTTCTCTCTACAGGGTTCAGATGTAGAGGTTGAAGTACCTGCAAATCTCAGCAAGTACATGGAAGCCGTTTTAGCCTTCACTACACATTCCAGTCAGGTGAGATGAAAGTATTTTTCTTTTTTTAACTTCAAGCTTTCTCCTCTAAATCCCTTTGTGAAAGACTGCGTCGGAGGGAATAGAATCCACCTTTTCTAATTTTTCCCCTATTTCCTGCAGTTTTTAAAGTCAACCACTCTGCCGACATGGGGGGCTTTGTTCAGACACGAGACTCTGTCAAAGGACGCGGTTGTTGTGGAGATGGCCACCAAATACCTCAGAGCATCTATGACCAACCTAGTCAAGGTGAGACGTTGGCGTCAGTGACATCATTCGCACCGTGAATGGAAAACAAACAGGGTGCCACTAAATGTTTGGTGTTTGTCTCTCCAGGGTGGGTTTCCATCTCGAGACAACAACCCGAGTTGCGAGTACTCCCGCGTGGACTTCGACAGCGACGAGGACTTCAACTCTTTCTTTAATTGTAAGTGTCGTGCATTCGTTTTTACTTCAGTTAATGATCAGTTGTATTTTATTGCATTTTTAATGATGCGTTTTCATGCTTTGCAGCTTTTCGAGCGCAGCAGGGAGAGGTTTTGAGGAGCGCGTGTCGCATTGTTCCTTTAAACGCTTTCCAGATAGCAGCAGAATGGTTACAGTATCAGATCTCCTGCCCGATTGACACCGGAGACATCACATGTGAGTGTTTGTTCTTACAATCTTGACATGCTGACACAGTGTCGGAGTGGGACATTGATAAGTCTTTCCAGATGTGTTATGGTTTATGCACATTCGTGGTGGATTTGATTAATTTAACATTTAAAATCTGTGGTAATATGGAAGTAATTTAGACTTGGAAAGAGTCTCAATTGGTGATATTTATTAGAGAGAGCTCTGCAGCCCATTAGGGTATAACTCGAGACTCCTCTTGATAATGTCATAAGAAAAGGTCTGCATAACTAAATGTTCTTGAACCTTTCTGACAGTTTGCTTGAAGGATAAAATCTAAAGTTTCATTTCTAAGTTGATGACCATGAGTTTTTTTATGCACTGAGTGAACTTTACTTGTCATTTTCCTCCTGTCTAGCTAAAATTGCAGAGGGCCTGTGTTCCCTCCTGTCTCCATCAGTGGTCCAGTGGGACGCAATGACTGTCTTTATGGAGTGTGTAGTCTCACAGATGTTCAAATGTCTAGAAGAGGAGGTAATGAATTCAATTTTTAGTTACAGAGCAAAAATGCTGTGTAAGAAAACCATGATTGTAGTTTTACTTATGTGGAAGCTTACCTCTTTCTTCTTCAAACTGTGCAGAAGTTGCCCATAGATCAGAGCATGGAGCTGCTGCAGGCCGTGTTGAACTACGACACCAAAGATCCGCTCATCTTGTCCTGTGTGCTGACTAACGTCTCGGCCCTCTTCCCATTTGTCATACACAGACCACACTTCGTACCGCAGGTTCTCTACAAGGTCAGCTGAGTTGTTATTAATTACTAAATTATATTTAGCTATGTCTACCGTACATGTATTTTTGTTACTAGCTACTCACATGGGAAATACATAATATGATTGCAAAATAGTTTCATGATGTTGAGATGTTAAGATTTAGTTTATTTGAAGACGTTTGTGTGCAGATTTTGTGTGCATACTTCTCTTGGATTTGTTTATTAGTGTGTTGGATGGTGGTAATATTTAGCATTATAGTTCAGATGATAGGGAAACAATGTTAGTTTTTTCTAAAGGCAGTTTTTTTTACATTTGCCTTGTCACATAATTTGCTTGTTTTTAAAGTTGCTGTGCCTATGCAGCACATATTCAAATGCTTTTCAGAACGCTTCTTTTAATAACTTTTGAGTAACAGTGACCTTCAAATGGTTGTTGTTTCTCTCTGCAGCTGTTTAACGCCATCACATTTGAGGTTGCTCTTGAAAACAAGGTAAGTTGAGTTCACATAACCAAATATTGGCATTTCACCCTTATTCTTTAAATCCAAGATCAAATAAAAGTATTCTCTATCTGATGTCTTCAGGCACCTCGGACTCGAGCTGTGAAGAACGTGAGGAGGCACGCCTCTTCTTCCATCATAAAAATTTGTCGGGATTATCCACAGTTCATCTTGGTAATATTCGTTTTATTCCAGTTACACTAAAACAACATTACAGAGATGTGAAAAAGCTTGTACCTGGAGTACACCATGCTGATGAAAAACCACGAGTACATTTTTTGACTTTTGTGTATTTTTTTCTTCCGCAGCCTTGTTTTGACATGTTTTACAACCACGTGAAGAAGCTGTTTTCAAGCGACGCCTCGCTGACTCACATGGAGAAGTGTTCGCTGATGGAAGCTCTGGTGCTCATCAGTAACCAGTTCAAAGACTTTGCAAAACAGAAGGCTTTCCTAGATGAACTGATGGCCTCAGTAGTTGCCGATTGGACTTCAGACGACATGAGGCAGTGCGTTCGAATACTTTCTATTTCCCACACATTGTACATGATAAGTTTTAACGTCATGACAAATATTTGTCTTTTCTCTTCTTTGTGTTTTAGTGTGCTATGGGATACTGTCACCTTCCTGGCCTTTGTTGGAGCTGATCAGGTGGTCACAGAGTCGCAGAGTAATGACACAGATACTGCAGGCCTTAACAGGGGGAGAGTAAGTATGTAGATGTAAACCTGCTTTTTGGCTTGGCTCATAAAACAGGAGTTTGTTGTGATTTTTTCCTGTTTCACTTATACTAACAATCTGAAGAGAAATCTGATGTTTGTCCTAGATTGTTTGGTAATGTGAGGTGTTTACAGATCTAACCTCAGACTCACTGGGGGCCATGTTTTTATGTATGAGTTAAAATCAGGGTGGGTCAGATTATCTCAGAAGCGCCAGGAGCAGCAGACACTGTTGCCAAGCAATGCTAGACATTCTAGCCCTTGAGGCTAACATTAACTACAGATATTAAAAGTGATACTTAAAATCTCAGCTCAGGTTCTCACTGCAGAATAGACAAACCATGTTGACATTCCAACCATTTGCTCGTCCAGACTTGTTTAGGCTTCTGCTTTTGTTGGTTCTTTCACTGCAAATTAGTATTAGTGTTACACCAAATTGTTTCACCACAGTCTTCTTTCTTTTTTTTGCTTCCACATAGATCATGTGAGGTGGTGCACTGCTCCCCGAGTGCTCCCCTTTGGCATGATAATATCCTGTAGTGTGTGATGCATCATTATTTTCAAATCTTGTAGTGTGCATATGGCTGAGATTGAAGAGAAGAATATGTGAGAAGTTTCTCCTGATGTGTATGATGCAATGTGATTTCGGAATCCATTTAATCTCCTGTTGTGTGAGCCCAGCTTCACTGTGTATAAGAAGGCAATAGACAACATAAGAGCAATGTAGACTTGCTCGTTTCACTCTTTGAATTTAATGCCTTTTTCACTCTAAATGGCAACTGTATGCAAATAAGGTGGCAAAAAATACAATATTGACAGAATGCTCCAACACTGCAAGATACAGGGGGGCTAATTCTAAGCCAGCCAGCCATTCTAACAGCTGTGTGAGGCTGTAAATGAATGCTGCACCACTTTGAAATGAATTCCAATGTTAGCATGCTAACACGTTGCTGTATGATGTTCAGCATCTAAGTTTAATGTGGCAGCATGCTAAAATATGATACTGAACACTAAACACAAAATACAGCTGAGACTGATGGGATTGTCATTTATCTTGCAGGTCGTTGGTCATAAATCACAGTGTTGGACACATTAGAAATGTTTATCTCCTGACATGACCTGAGAATTTTCAAGCCACTCTGTTGAATATTTAAGATATTCCGGTCTCAACCAAAGTGGTGCACTGATGACCAAGGCAGCATTTTCAACCCTCAGAGCCGTTCCACAACAAAAGATAAAAACTGCTTTTAGTCAACTACAACGATGTTTCATTTAACGGTTTTGCTCTCTTTCTTGATCTTCCTCTAGCTGTGTTTCTGTTTGTATGCCATGTTGGCGGTGGTGAAGCGGGCACGCTGGCCTGCAGACCTTGAGGAAGCCAAGGCTGGTGGCTTTGTGGCAGGCTACTCCCCCACTGGAGCTCCCATCTACAGAAACCCCTGCGCTGCTCAGTTTCAGGTCTTGCTACCCAATCTACTGGCTCTGATCAGGTACACCCTTTTTACATCAAAAACCTGTGTTTCAGCCATTTTTCTATTCAAAACACTGATTCGTGACCGGTCTCTTCTGTTTGCTCCTCTCTGCAGGACTCACAACAGTCTGTTCATGCCAGAGAACATGTCTCGTCTGAGTGAGACCTTCTCCAGAGCCCACGAGGTGATGGATGCAGAGAAGAATGTGGTTCTTGGTAAGAGAAGCTCTCTGCACGTGGTGTTCGCCCCATAGTGAGCCATCATGTGAAAAGATTGCGGTTAAACCTTCTCAATATGTGTTTTCTCCAGGTCTCTCTCAGCATTCTCTGGATATTTATGTCTCGCCCGTGTACAGAAGCAACCTGGAGCGCATGCAGGGTTTTTTCAGCTCGTTATATGACAACTGGTGAGAACTGTGCCGTTGCGGTTATCCCACCCCAATCGTTTCCCCTCCATCGTTTATACCTCGTGTGCTTTTGCAGATTAAATCTCACCTCCACTTCTGCTCTCTTTACTGCGGTAGCTTCCAGGTCTTGGGAAATGCAGGCCTGTCCCTGCAGCAGGAATTCTACACCATCGAGAGGGTGGCTGAAGGAATAGCTGGCTCTGCTTTTGTCTCCCTCGACCACGTGCCTGACCACAGACTTCGCCCGATGATTCATATCCTTATTTGCTTTTGCTTCATTTGATTTACCAGGTTTTTTCCGTTGCCATGCCTTAGTCAGCAGTTTGGTGACGCACATCTTTGTACAAGGCTCTTTTTTCCTACACTCATTTAGATTCGTGTTATGTTAACACTGAATTTCCTTGACAAGCATACGTCTGTTTATGAGGCAGTTGGTGCTGTCATGTCCTCAGGAGTACTATGAGAGTCTACTCTGCCCTCTGCTGGGCCCTCTGTTTGCCTACATGATGCAGGTCAGATCCCCTGTTCTACATCATTAATCTTAAAATTAGCCACACTTTATTCTCTCATCCTTGATTGTATTTGTTGCCGAATGTCATGGCCTTGCTTCTGCTTCTTACTACAGAGACTCAACATCAGGTGGCAGGTCATCAACCAGAGAACATCTATCCAGTAAGTTGTGGTGTTTTTGTGTATGTGCCATCATATTGATTGAACACTCAAGTAATTTAAATCACAAATGAATATCCCAAATACAAAATGCTTTTCACACTATTACTACAGTCTTTTATATGAAGAACAGCATGTAATTTTAATGTGATGTAGCCCTCTAAACTCCACACTGCTAATTCCGTTTTTTGCATAAACACAGCCTGCAGTTCATCCGAACAGTCAGTGAATATTGTCACATGACTGTCGATCACAGCTGGGTCAGTCATGGCTTCTTTGTTGTGCTGAGGAGTGTAGATTTTATTTTATTTTTTCACTGAATCTGGGTACTGCAAACAATTTACTTTTTGAGAATTTAGTTGAGATGTGTAAAACAAAATAATTGTAATTAAATATCAAGATGTAAGCTTAGATTTGGGTGACTTTGAAAATACATGTCAGAGATGAGTAGTTCAAGAACTACTGGAAAGTTGAAAATGTGACTATTGTTTCTGTACCGTTTGTCTTTTCTTTTTTTTCTTATAAGCAGGTTTGTATGGTTCAGAGGCGAAATGCAAAAGAAAAGCCTGATTATCAACTGTTCCTTTCAATATTCATGCATTTCACTAAAAGCTGTGTTTAATATTCTGTGTGCAGTTCTACTTTTAGGTGAACCACATCTTAAAATATACATTGGATTTGTGTACTTGTCTTTTCAGCGGTGAGGATGAGGAGGAGGTGGTCTCTCAGGAGAGCCAGGTGACACAGGAGATGTTGGAGGAGCAGCTAGTACGCCTGCTAACCAGGGAGGTGCTGGATCTTCTCAGTAAGTATCAGTATTTGTAGTTACTGGCAGTCACAAACATGTACAGATGGGTGACAAAATAATGGAAAAACAAAACATACAGAGTCTAAGTGAGGTCATGGGCCACCACATGCTGCCAGAAGAGCTTTAAATTGCACTCCTTCCAAGACCAAAATAAGACCATTACATGAAAACCACAGACTGCGTTACATGACGCATATCAGAAACGAACCAGACATCAGTGTGTGTGTATATAAGAGAGTGAGCAAAGTGCTTTAGTGCTATGATAAATAAGTAATACATATGGTCTAAGTGGCGGTTCTCTGCATTATAATGTCTCTACATCAAATAAATGCACACATTATTTAAAGAAAATGTGTTACCTAAAAGTAATTATCGAATGTGTCCTGCAGTGTAAACAGATGACTTTTAAATAAGATGGAGTTGAGGGTTTGAGGGTGAAAAAAGTGAGTTAACCAGCATTGCATTGATCACTATGTCGCAGACATTTTGCATTTGTTAGCAAACGTACTGATGAAAAATAAGATTTATTGCAAATGTGAATTATATTTATTGCAATTACAGTTGTTTTATGATTGCAATATAATGTCCCTGTCTAAACTCACGGTAAAGTGCAGCCCAGGGCCTATTAATCCTGCTAATGCACTTTAGTCACATGGTGAAGTTGGGTTTCTGCCAGCCATACAATCTGAAAGTGGTTTCAGAACACACTTGGAAAGTGCAAATATCAGCCATAATTCCTAGATAGAGCTGAGAACGCTACATTTTGTGGTAGATAAAATGGTTTTCCTTCCAGTAGGATTTGTCTTGGGTGATTGACAACCTCATTCCTGAGTTTATCCAAATAGAGGGTCAGGGAAAATAGTGCAAGTGCCATTAATTTGATTGGATTGCACTTTGTGGTCCGAATTTTCTGAAACGAGCCCTCAATCGCAAGGCGAACAACCAAACAGAACACTACAGTGTTGCACTCAGCTGCAGAGAGTTCAGAGGGCTGTGCTGTGAAGCAAGATTAGTGGATTAGTGAGGTATGTTGAGCCTAAAGTCAGAGTTTTTAGTTTCTCAACGTTGGCTCTCTTTTAACCTGCTAGATCACCATGGTAACTTATGCTGCAGAGCTAACATGGGTCAGAGTTTCAGATTTGAATTGGCTATAAGAAGCATCTCACAATGTTTACTGAAGATTCTTTGAGTGATAGGTTTACAGTGGAGGGATGTTATATCTGTAAACCTGTTGATCTGTATGTGTCTAATTCCACTGAATGAAGCCGTGTAGTTACAGTATCACTAACTGTTTGCATTGCGTTGCTACGGAAGCCGACATGTATTTAGTTGGTGATGCAAAAAATGCATAAATATGTTTTTGAATTTGGCCCCGGTTTGCTGCTAAGTCCGTTTACACTGCTGGTGCTGCAGCTGATAGAAAACAGATTAGAAAATGGGTTATTCTACTGGTATGTATTACAGAGAATATTAAATCAGTAACATCGAATTTTCTTTGATTTGGCCAAAAATTTTATCGATATCTTGCATTATGGGGTAGTGTTAGACCTAAATGCACTTCACTACAATACCATGTTTAAATATATGAAGTGTGAAGTTTAACATCTCTAATGTGCTGCTCAGTTAGAAATAAGCGGCTGCATTGTTCAGTAAAATAAATATATGAACATTTAACAGTTTTCTACCAGCATTCCTGTCTTGCATCATTTACAGTAGCAGCGCTTTTTACCATCTTAAAATGTTATATTACTCGTAGGTCTCCATTCTAAAAAAACCTGTTGACCAAAGCAGCTGCACACGATCGTTTCATTTGTGCAGAAGAGTCACATGTGTTAATTGTGTCCTTTTATGTGAATGCACACAGTTTGAAGCAGAATGCAAAACTTTTTTTTTCTTGTTGCCTTTTGCACTGTTCACATTGTTCTTCAGATATTTTAAAATATATTTCTTTAAAGCCAAAGGAACCAGTAAAAGGATGGGACCTTTACTGTGCACTCTCAAATAATAGTAGCTGATACACTTGCGTAGTGGTGGTTTGATTTTCTGTATTGGAAAGAAAAAAATGAGGTGTGAGATTTCCAGCATGTAGCACACAACTATCTGATCAGCTTTAATCCAAGACTGGGGGTAAGGTGGGGAGTTGAGTTATTATGGAGTCACAATACTTGTTTTCCTCGTCCTCTCTTAGCTGTGAGCTGTATTTCCAGAAAAGTGCCTGAACCTGCAGCAAATAAGGAGGAAGTAGACGGTAAGAGTCAAATTGGGAAAACTTTAATCAACACACAAAGTTTTGTTTTTAGTCTGACAAGATTCTCAACATGTTGCTTGAAATGTGCTCTCACAGAAGACGACATGATGATGGATTCTGTGCAGACGGCGTCTCCAGCGCAGCCCACAGAGGAGCTGACTGAGCTGGGAAAATGCCTGATGAAACACGAGGTCAGCCTCAGACACACAACATTCAGGGAACAGCGTGGCAAATGCTTTAATAAAATATTGAAAGTTTCACTCTTTTTTTTTTCCTTCTCTCTTTTCCCCCCCCAGAACATCTACATGTCCCTGCTGACCCTGTCCTTCACCTCGCTGTCGTGGAAGGACACCACCAACTGTCATCGCACTGCTTCCATTGTCTGCTGGACCCTCCTGCGACCGGTAGCACTCTGAATGCAACATGTTAATTATAAATCTGGATCTTTTTATACTTTCATGACACACTGACTGGCTACAGTTCAGTTTTTTGTTAATGTCCATTAATCCCATGAAAAGACCAAAACCAACAGTGCAACGCTTTTCGACCCTGTTTTTAGCTCTCCACACCAAATCCTTTTGTTACAACTGAGACAAAAAACAAGGGCCAGATAAGCACAGGAGATTTTAGAAAGTGTTACTCAAACAGAAGTGAGTATTGCAACTGCTGGGAACGACTTTAAGCCTCAGATTTGGTGCTCTTGCTCAGCAGCAGGGTGTGTATGTGGAACGGACTAAAAATACACTGAAGTGCTCATTGTAATGAAGGAGCCTTTGTTGAGCAACGCTGTGGCTCAGTGATGTGTTTTAAGTTGTTTTTGGGCAATAGTCAGAGGACCGAGCTACTTCAGACTCTGGATTCATAGCAAGTACGTGTCGTTGTTACTTTTGGTCTTTTAATGGACTTTGTTGGACATTAGGAAAGTATAAATAACAAGCAGACTTTCAATACCAATTTTCTGGATGCTGTTGGAGAATTTTATTGTCTAAGTCCTGTTGGAAGTTCATGAAGTAATGCACTTATATTTGTGGCTCTCATGAGATCACACTCGGTTAGACTAATTCTGTTGTAGAAGTGTGTTGTGGCTGATCATTGTGTATTCGTCTCATGCAATTTTATTTAGACTTTGGCACTTTTCTGACCATGAATTCCTTTCTAGCCATCTTCAAAGTAGCTTTGCTGTGCTGAGCTTACCTACTGTTTACACTCATCCATACAATATTTGACTTGAAAAAGGGCTGTAAAAGAATCTTCCTTCTACTTCCACTCTATTTTTCCCCAGGTCGTAGCAGGTAATCTTCTTCCTGAAGCTGTCTCGTGGTTCTATACCAGTGTTCTGAGAGGCCTTCAGGTTCACGGGCAGCATGAGGTCTGTAACTCCACCCTCTCCCAGCTGGCCATGCTCATCTATGAGAACCTGGTGAGGCTAATGAGAAGGATCTCTGCCATATCTGCTCTTTTATTTCTGTCTGTCCATTTGAAGAAAAAAGCTTAGATGTCTCCTTGGACTGTAACTATTTTCATCACTGATTAATCTGGCTGTTGGTTTTTTCTAAATCTTTTATCTGTAGAATGTCAGAAAATGGTGAAAATGTTTTTGCCAACTTAGAGTTTGCTGTCATCTTTAACAAAGAAAAGCAGGAAAAGCTGTGATCGCTCAAGATTTGAGGTGTTTGATTGAAAAATAACTGATTATCAAAGTAGTTTCTGAATAAATTGCTATGGTCATATTGTACTGACATGAGGGGGGAAAAACATTTCTTTCATGAGAGAATTTTCACTTTTAAGGGGATAACATAGTCCCAAATATGAAGTCTGAACTCTCAATGCATCACTTTTAATCTCTGCTTGTGCATGCATCCGTTTGTCCCTCTTTGTTAGCGGCCTCGCTACATCGAGCTGAGGACAGTGATGACCCAGATCCCGAACATCAATGTGGACGCTCTGGACCAGTACGATAACAGGCTCATGGACCCCAACGCCCAGAAGGTCGCAGAGAAGAAGAGAAGAGACCAGTTCAAGAAGCTCATCGCAGGAACTGTTGGGGTAATGCCACATTTAGCCACTAGAGAGCAGTGCTTCTCCAGTATGTCTACTGCTTCATCACAAGTGACCAAAGACACTGGCCTAATAGTGCAAGTCATTACTCAGCACTGTGATTCTGGCTGTGTTGTAAATCTTCTGTGCGCGGCAGCAAAAAAAAAAAAAAAAAAGAAGTGCAGCAGCTCAACTGGGCTGTACAATCTAATGAAATTCTTTCTTGTAGGTCTTGGATAGCTCTGTTTAACCTCTCCTCTCTCTGTCCTCTGCCAACAGAAAGCTCTGTGCCAGCAGTTCAGGAAGGAGGTTCATATCCGGAATCTTCCTTCGCTCTTTAAAAAGCCAAAGCCAGACAAGGATATAGTACAGAGCGGTGAAGCATTGGGCCTGGCAGCTCTCTTCTCCCCTGAGCGTGACGCCCTGTGAAAACACACAGCGGTTCCAGTGGACTTCACACTGACCGAAGACGGAATTATGCGTACAAACCACGGTTTCCCTCTCTGTCCTGCAGCTGGCCCAGTCTACCTAACATATCTGTCAACACTCACGAGGTTCTCTTTTCTTCACTAGGTACCTTTATAAATCCTATTACACACTTCTTCTCCATTCCGTTGCGCATACCAATAAATAGGTATATAAACTATGGAAAGTTGTGGGAAATATTTCAGATTAATAAGGGACTTTTTTTCCCCTCTCTCTCTGTCAGATTGTGTTAAGTGACAATCTTCAAATGGCAGAATAATCATTGTTTGCCCTGCTGCCGATTTATTGAGAAACAAACTACCTTTTGTGGAACAACTCTAGCTTTTTTTTTTCAGTTATTTTGTGCCTTTTTCATTTTAAGAGACTGTAGCCACAGCCCAGCACCATGCTCTCTAAGCATGCTGTAGATTTATGGAATTACAAAATCAAACTAAGAACTTTGCTTCAGTTTTATATTCAGCAGGAAAATTGGCATCTAATGATATACAAATGAGCAAAGCCAGTGTAGCAGATCGCCTGTTGCAGTACTATGAAGCTAAACTTGTATTATGAAGCTTGTGGGGGTGGAGACGTTTTGTACTGAAAAAAAAAGGAGAATAATTTCAGAGGTTAGTGTTGGCAGATATGTTGTGTGACCGTGCTGCTGCTGTCAAGGCTGTTATATCCTGCGTTGAAAAGAAAAGAAGAAAAATCTAGGACAAATCCTGCTGCACATTTCTCTATTTACTATTATTTCCTTTAACTGGACGAGCTTGAACGGAGTTTCACATCGTGAAGGACGTGCTGACGGTACCTCAGGCGTGACATTAATAATGACGGGGTTACGTTACTTTATCTAAACCTAACCTACAGGAAAAAAAAAGCTGAATTGTGTTTTTTGTGACTGATTATTGTACAGCTGTCTATTTTGCAGATATTATACAGTCGGTTAAAGCAATGATGGCTTGCATTTTGCCGGTGCTTCATATCAGCACAACCTACCAGACCCAAGTACTGTTTGGAATTGCTTATTTAATTCAGAGCACATATCAAACTACGAAGTATACAGCCAGATTTTGTGCCAAAACACTCAGTGTAGATTTGTGAGCAGACAACTGGGTCTGAGAAATCTATTCGCGTATAAAATAAAGACTATTTAAGGGTGAACTCAACAACTAATGTGTAGCTTAATCCAAGTCTTTCAGTTGTTTTTTAGCTAGTCAGTTGTTGATATTTGTTATTTTTACGTGTCGTTTTGTGTTTGTGCTGATTTTGCCAGCGAGAGGACAAAAAAGATGAACCAGCACTACATTCCTTCATAGTCCAAGGGATTGTTTTTTTTAACCTAATTTTTGTTTGGATGTACTTTTGCTCTTATGGAGCTATCATAGCAGAGAGGGATTTGTTTTTTCAGCTATTTGTTGTGTAGATTCAGACCAAAATAGATGGAAGTTATTTTGGCTTGGGATGAGCACCCTTTAAATGCATATAGACGAGTTTGCATATCAGATGCTGTGATACTGAAAACAGGTCCTAGGAATAGAAACATTTATGAAACCTGATTTTATTTTTTTTGTTTCCCCAGTTGAATTTATCTCCCTGTCTTTGTGATGATTGTTCACATGTGGCCATTTTTAAAAATGCTCATTCAACACTAAAATGTATCTGTACAAAGGAGAAAATAGCCTTTTTAAAAGTGTAGTGTGGTTTCTATTTTTGTTTTTAAATAAAAAAGAATGATTTCAATTTGTCTAAAATCTTTGATTTTTTTATTTAGAATGCTGAGGAAAAATAATTGAAGTTAGAAAAATGATTATTAATTGTGTAAGAGACAAATCTGAAATTTGAAAGGTGTCTTTAGGTTTAGCAATTAAGTACACAGTGACCTGGTTGACTGACGATCTTCAGACTTGTTCGTTGATGACTGCATGTGGGCATATTTGCTTAAAGTTACTGTCATATTTTACACCACATTTTAAACATTTTGCAAGAGGTCCAACACCAGGACATAGCTGCACATACTGACATAAAATCAGAATGTGAGGGGAAAAGAAATGATAGAGCCTTCATATTGTCATAATGTATATTAGTAAGGGATGTTAGAATTTTCAAACCTACATTAACAATAAGATAAGATAGAACTTTATCCATCCTGAAGGAAGAAATAAAGAAAATTCTTGTGCCTGGTATTGCGCGGAATTTCAAATTAGATAACGTGAGACAGAATGCAGTTTCTTATAGAAACGCAATATATAATAAGTAATTTACTGATAATAAAAATATGTTAAATGAGACTAAAACAGAAAAGTAAGAAGTAATACTTGTAATGATTCAGAACTAGTAAATATAGACCTGTGTAGGTTATGAATTGAAAACAGTACTTTTAAAATATTTAAATTGAAGTACATATTTTTTTTTACTGTAGCTTGTTCCTTGTCATATATGAAAATGGATTTTTCTTGCAATTATCTTTCAGTCATAAGTGCAAGATAAACATATTTCCATCCTTAAGACCAATGCTTTGTTGTTATTATTATTATTATTATTATTATTATTATTGTTATTGTTGTTATTGTTGTTGTTGTTATTAATTTGTTATTATTTTAAATGATGTGTTATTAAGGTTCAGAATGTTCCTACCGACAACATGATGGTAAGACATTTATTTAAGTTTGCCTTTACACCAATGTGTTTTGTGAATACATTTCCATATATTTTACATTTCCGAATCAGATTTGTATTCATGTTGATTTATCAAGAGTAAGAGTGCACCTTTTGATGGATATATAATGAGAGAGAAAAATGCAGCATTAGTAAGAAATTTCGGGATCTTACTGACTAAAACATCTTGGCCTGTGAGTTTCAGCCAGCAGCAGTTCACACTCCTGCCGCTGGGGGGCGGACGTGCAGCCTTTATGTTTTGCCAGCTGCCGTAAATGACTGTAAAAGAGCAGCAAAGAACAAGTGCAGTAAAGAAGAACGATGGCTGCTCTCTCACCGGCTGTGGTATGTGTTGTGTTATTATTCTGGGATGTGTTTAACATGATAAAAATGAATATATGTAAGTTTAATATTAGTGGTCAACATGTTTTTATTTAACGTCGCACAACGAAACTCCTGAAACTTTAAATGTCACAACAGTCTCGTTAAATAAAGAGGTAGCTGCATTTGCGGCTAATTTTATACCATAAATTACTTGTTTTACACCTTTTACTAAGATTTTGCACACAAAACAAGTTATCCAAACATAGCATTTTAATTATACCAGATAGCCGCAAATACTGCTTGTATGTCAATACATTACTAATAATGATCCCATAATATGATGAAACACTCATAAATACACTTTATTCTTCCTGATGTGCTCGTTCACTTATGCTACCTTTGGCTGATAATATGTGTGCTTTCACTGGAGTAAATTTCCAATACTAAACCTTTACTTCTTACTAAGTGTTTTTTAAGTGTGTTATTGCTACTTTTACTGAATTAAATTACGTGTAACATGGGGAGTCAGTGGTCAATAATCATTTTCAGGTGCTGTCACAAGTTTTCAAATTGATTCCTGTCTGTTGTTTGGGGTAAATGTCCTCTTAGAAGATAAATGTTCACCTAAATAGTTGGTTTGTGGAATTTATTAGATTATAGAATATTTGGCTGCATTTATTTACCCTCTGAAACCTTCTACTTCTCATATGTGATGTGTTCTCAGTGCTGTTCAGTCAAATGAAAAACTAGTGTCTCTAAATGTTTCATAGAGCTGCATTGTAATGAGTAAATTTTACAAAAATCAAGCATATTTATAAATCAAATCAAATGCTGATCGGACACGTTGGACTGTTTGGTTAGTCTGTGACTCACGCTGACATGGTGTTTGTGGAGGCTAATTCCTGCAGCAGTTTCAAGCTCTGCAAGTGTAAACAAAGCTCAGCTGTTGCAGTGATTGGTTCTGCAGCGTTAGACCATTCTGACCATTTTGATAAGCAGTCGTTGAAGTCTTCTAACAATTATGCATCATGGTTTTAGCTTTTTATGTGGAAGGTTTTGCTGCTTATCTTTGTCTCATATGACAGTAAACTGAATGTCTTTGTTTTGCTGGATGGACATTACAAGAAACTGAAAGATGTCTTCTTTGGCTCTGGTAAATTCTGATAAAAAATTTAACATGTGACGGACAAGATGATTATTTGATTAATAGAGAAAATGGTCTACGTTTTATTAAAGAATGAAAATACTGGTTAGTTGCAGCACTACTACATTTACTCCTCCTGTCCATACTGGCTTTGAAGAGATCCTTTCCCACCGTGAAAAAAAATCCCTGCACCCACCTTCAGTATGCTGTCTCCCACCCACACTACTCACTGTTTCAAGATCTTGGACTACGAGTGCTTTGTAGGCAGTTTTCCACAATAACAAAGGGGCATCTTTTGTCTTGTGTCTTTTAATGAAGCTCTGCAGTTGTTTTCTGTCCACTAATCCTCATTCTCCTCTGTCTCTTCTAGGACTCATTGCCCATCCAGCAGCATCCTCCTCCTCTTGCTTTGCCCGTCAACTGTTCTGCAACCGTGGCTGCAGAGTCTCGAATGAGTGTGACTCTGCAAATTTTAGTTGAAAAGATTCCTCATTTTACTGCAACAACCTACAGTCAAGTGTATGAGATTTCAAAAGACAGCAGCAAGAACTGATGAAAACAGACCATTTTTCTTGATCCCCATACAATAATTGAATGGCCATTGACAATCACAATAATCATACATAAGCTTGTAGCAAGTAAATCTCAGCTCTTAATATTTTCTGATGCCTGTGCTACATGAAATATAATTTGTGAGGAAATTACATTTATTGTTCACATTTGTGTGACTGGAAAGCACAAAACTGGCTGTACAGGATTAAAAAAAAAAATAGAAATATATACTGGAAAAAGCCTATCAAATTCATTCAGCTCCTCTGGACTTTGGCACATTTTTTGCAGTGTTTCAAGTCTTTAATATCAATCATGTAGAAATACGCCAAAAGAAAGTGCAGATGTGAAAAAAAAGGTTTAATATTAAGTAGAGGCTACACTTTGAGTGCATATGGATGGACCCACACATCTTCACGTTTAGGGTTGTTGTCTTGTTAGAAAAATAAATAGTTTCACAAATATCTGTTGTGCAGACTGTCTTTCTCCAGGATCTCTTTTTTGCTGCATTGTTTAATCCCTGTGCTTTTACGAGCCCGTAGGATCTGCTGCAGAGAAACATTCCCTCGATGTTGGAGTTGGTGTGTCTCCGTTTATGTGCACTGTTTGGTTTACACCTGACATTGCATTTAGCGTGATGAGTTCGTGGCCCCTTTAATGTTTCATAAGGCCTTATGTTGTATGGCCTGTCAAGATGTGCCCTTCTCACTCAGGCTCACATGTTTTGAGGATGGATTTACAGCTGTGCTCTTTGATATGCATATTTCAAGCGATGCTCAGTGCCCCGAGAATTTTCTTATATCATGCACCCGACTTTTCAGTAGTCTCATGATGCAATGGCTTTGACTTGATGATGTAATTTTTGCCATGATGACTAACCAGCAAGTGACCCTGTGGATAAGTTAGTGTTTAAAGTAAAGTCACTTGTCACACTTTGATTGGACACACATGTGATTTTAGTGTCAATAGAGATTGTTTAGGTATGGATGATTGACACATTAAAGGAAAACCAGCATGAAATGTTTCAGTAAGATGCTGCACAACAAGAACAGCTTCAGTTCATCTGACTGGCAGCACTGATTCTGTAAGTCTCTGTAGGAGAGATTAAAAACCGTTATTCCAAAAGTTGTTCGCTCAATTGGTGTTTTTATGAAGGTGGTGGAGATTGATGTGTTATGTGTTGGTCCAAAATCTAACACAAGTGTCCAGCTGAGTTGAGATCGAGTGACTGCAAAGGACAAAACATATGCAAAAAGAGATGTGCTATTGGGGTTTTGAATTGACATTTTCAGCTGTTACACATCTTTGTCACATTATAGGAAACTATTCATGGTGTTACTGATCTAATGGAAAGGCTTTTATAGTGTGTGACATCTACACATCCTTTTACCAAATATGGACCCGATAGCTGCTGCTGAATTCCTGAAATAATTTAAATACTTTATTATTATATCAAATCAAGTTGTGGAAGGAATTTTTTCCAAGTGAAACTATATTGTAGATAGATAAATGCAAATGAACCACGTTTGTATAATCAGAATACTTTAATAAAGTATATGTTACTGAATAAGAAGCCAAACAAAAAAGTTCCAGGATTTTAAAACAGTACAAACACAATTATTGGAACCCTTTAGTCATATTAGGCTTCTGCACTTTTTGTCCTCTGAATGTTTTATGTCCTAAAAAAAAAAAATAAAACTTAAAAATTCCCCAAACAGCTTTACATATGGATGTGATGTTTGTGTCCACATTCTTTTGGCCATGTAATGTATAAATAATTTCCCTAAATTTTTCTTGCACTGTGTGGTATCTGTAGTACCGTAGACTATTGAGTTTAGGTTGTAACAGCTAGTATGTGAGTCAAATATGAACTTATTGTTTAGTCAGATTTTTCTTGCAATAACAGGTTACAGAAGGTCAGCAAATACAAATGCAAAATGTGTAGGATTATGCAAACTGAGTAAATCTATTTGTTCTTTGGGAATTATAGCAGAACGCCTCATAAAACACTGCAGCCCTCACAACAGTCTTCCTTTCATTTCTTTTTTCTGTTGAGTAAATTGTATAAATATATTAATTTTAAACTGTTCATAAAACCAGAGTGTGTTGAGGAAGACACAATCAAAGTATTCACATACTTTTTTCCCCATCAAATCTGTAACAGACCTTTAGGTTTATAAAAGTAAAATGAAGTTTGTCAGTTTTTAAAGGAAATACCAGCTTCCCATTTTTTAAAAATGATGTTGATATATTTGAAATATTTTTGTTGGAGTTGTGGCTCTCCACAAGACCCCGATCTGGACATTGTCATAAAAAGTGAATCTATGATGTATATTTGTAAAGTACCCAACCAAAGTGAGTACACCTCTCTGCAATATCACTTGACTGTCATATGCTTCAAAATCGTATCACCTAAAAGTAATTGTATTATTTCTAAAACATAAAGAGTAGTGCATTTGCGTTTATGTAAAATTAAAAACGAATGTTTTATGTTTACTTTTACTGTTTTAAGATTACACACCCCACAGCAGGAATTGAGTGCAACACCAGTCAGTACATTTTTCATCACTGAGATTTAAATCCTTTATTTACTTTTGGCGACAGGCTCAATCCTCCTCAGTATTAAGGATTCCAGATTTTTGGAGCGATGATTTGTCATTCTTCAGAGACAAGGAGGGGTTGTTTTGCTCGACCTTTCTCTTTAAAATACCCAAAAGTGTTGTAGTGATTAAGTGAGACAACATACTTGACCAGATCATAGTTTTCACTTTTATTCCTGTTCAGCCAAGTTTCTGCAGACTGGGAGTCATCTTGATGGACTGTATTTTAATATAATCAACAAACATATATAATAAATGTCACCTCCCTGACACCTTCTGCACTCATTTGGTTTCATGCATTGACTGAGGTAGATCTGGCCAGTTTCATGACAAACATGCTGAAGCCCATCTGAGCCAAACAAATTTAACTTCTTTATCCTCTATCTAAAGAATTTCCTCCCATATATTCATCAGGCTTCTTATCGTGTATTTTTAGTAAAGTTTAATCTTCAATTTTGTGCCGAAAAGCAAACAAGGGTTGTGTTGTTTTTTTCTTTCTTTCCTGGACAGCGTTCATTCAGGTTGTCTGGCCGGTACAGACACTCTGACTTCCACTGCTAATTACTATAGAAATCTGTAGCACCTGTCCATCTGTTTCCCAGAGCTAGATAGTGCAAATAGTGCACTGTCCAAGGAGTTACTGTAGGGGGATGACCACTGTGGCTCTGCTTAGTGGTAGTATGGTTCACTCTGTATCTCCTAATTACTGCTGAATCTGTGTTTTGACTGTTTTAAGTGGGTCACCAGTCTTCCTCCATCGTTTCTAATCTTTGTGAAGTCTTACAATCAGATTGTTCTGTTCCTCTGGTAAGTCTTTTCCCTGTAGAGCCATGATGCAGACATGTAGGTAAACACAGCACATTATTCTGGTGTTCACATCTCATTTTTTAACCATGCTCGTTCACCTTTGTTACATTGTGTTTCTGCTCTATTTTAAAAAGTTCAGCAGTCTTTCGAATGTATTTGCTTTTGATTGTTCATAAGAGAAAATACTGTTCAACTCAGAAATAATGCAATTATTGAGAGGTGTACATGTATGATATTTTTAGATTTCATGATGGACCCCTGTGTTTTCTCACCTTGGCTTTACTTTAATCAGGATCCCACAGACGGCAAAATCAAACAGAGTCTTCCTTTGAATACTTTTCTTGTTTCCTGTCAGACCTTGTTAAACACAATACATGTAGACAAGCAGTGACTTGCTGTTTATTTTCTTTGATTCAAACTGAGCAGCATGTTTGATGAACAAGATACAAATTAGGCTTGAGCATGATATGATGCCAAATAACAAAATACTATTTGATTTAAGTCTGTAAATTATATTTTTGTAATTTAGTCCCATTGTTGGCTTCATGACAAAGATACACGGAGCTGATTTTGGCATCTGGCCACTATCTTTATGCAAATGTGGTAATCCAGATGAGGATGGCAGAAGTGTGAAAGTCAGAATTACTTCAGTGTTTTCAGCTAAATGCACTTAAAGCATCAAAAATGACTCTTTGACTGGTAAAAATTTACAATGTTACCTTATTAGTTTCCCACCTGGAATGACTTCATATACAGATAACTTGGCTTTGTCCACTGGTTGACTGATATGTGCTGATCCTTATGACCGGAAAGCTCAGGATCATTTACTGCTGTCAAGCCGTATCGACTGTCAGTATTGTAAAACTATTAATTGGAATGATTTGGAATTAAAGATTTATTGATTTATTAACACATTTTATTGATTGCACTTCTGATTTTATGTGTTTTTGTGACATATTTATGAGTTATTTCACGTTTATCAAAAACTTGAGTGAACTGCTATTTGACTGTTTTTAAATGATACAAATTCAATGCATAAACTGTTTCAGCAAGAAAATTGCATGGAAGACAATATTGTTAATCTTCCATAGGAATCACTATGAATCAGGTGCAGCAGCATTTCATATAATTTAAAGCCACAGTGCAAAGCATTTACATATAAATGAATGTCTGTTACATTTGAGTATATACAAGAACACACAATGCTGATTCAGCCTGTCAGCACCAGGTAAATCTCTCTGTATTTCACAGGGTGTTTTAAATCAAACGTCTGGGGCAACAGCCTATCGAGATTTAGCTGTGCTTCTGCTGTGTATTTTTGTTATGCTTGTGTGGAAGTTTTGCATTAGAAAAATTTGTATGAAATGGCAAAATCTGAAAAAAATAAAATAAAATAATATATATATATAGATATTTAGAAACTGTTCCTACCCTCTCTTGTATTGGTTTGTCACTTTTTTCTTTTTCTTTTTTTAAGAGTTGATGTGCATAGATAAAGGAGTTACTGTGAGGATTATATAAGTGGTCGAGGTGCAGAAAATGGAGTTAACATACCTGTAATGTATGTTCAAACTAAATTAAATTAAAAGAGATTCTGAAATAAATAGTACAATTTTAAACTTCATTCTGTATTTCTCTGGTAGCTAATGTATATGCCACAATCATTGTACAAATCTCTGTACCACTGCGTTCTGAACTAACTGCAGTCAAAGAAGGTTGAACTGGATTAAGCTCATATACAGAGTTACAGTCGCAAGCTAATAAATGCATGGCTTGCAGGTATTTACAGATCCTTGTGATTTTAAATCTGTTTCCAATAGGTGATGATACTGAGCTAGCAAATACTGTCTTCACTTCTATTTTATTTGTTAAGAAAGACACCAAGATTTTATTTTCATGCAGTCATCTAGCATTTCATATCATCAAATCAGTCAAAGAAGCTCATCACAGAACAAGGACAGCCAAGTGTGACTGGAAGGTAAAACTGTGTGTCATCAGCATAATAATGATAGATTATGATATTATGGTTTTTAAAAATGTAACCAAGGGGCGGCATGTATAGAGAAAATCGGAGGGGCTTTAAGGTAGAACCCTGGGGGATGCCACAGTTAAGGGGGGTGGAAGAAGCTGAGCACAAGACTGATATCACAGAAGCCATTCCAAGCTTGTTTAATTTCTCTTCTCCATCCTGTGTTTCTGTGTACCAGTAAAGAGGCAGGTAGTGAAGTTGAGGATGAAATTGGAAGACTCCTCTCTTGATCTGAACCACCCTGCTGTGAAAGCAGACCTCCTGATAAAGGCAAGTCTCCAAACTCTACCCTGAAACATTTTAAGTGGGCACAGTGATGTAAATGACAGCTAGCGTAACCAGAATGTGGCATTAATAAAATATGTTCAGTTACTAAAGGTAAATTTTAGAAGACTAATGAACAGCAGGAGCCAAGAAGAAGGGTGACAGTAATGAAAGACATGCCACAGAGCTGTTTCTAACAGGCTGGTTGATCTAAGAGCAAGTGGGTATGTGGAAACATCGAACATCAAACTGTGTGTGAGAGTACAGTTAAATCAGACATGTAGGCTGAAGGGTTCAGTTCCATACAGGCTGTTATTCGTCATCCATTAAGTGGAAAGTTCTCAAATCTTCTCTGAGTGTTTGGAAAATCTACAGAAAAAACTGGTTTCTTTCTGTATATCTCTGGTCTTGTGGACTCCAACTCAAGAATCTGACCTCTGATTAAGGTCACAATCAAATTACATTTATGCTTTAAATGAAGCTATGAACATTACTGACCACAGCATAAAGCGCAACAGAAGTTGGCGTCACATTCCATTTCAAATTTTGTTGTAAAAGGATTTAATTCAAATATTTACTATAAACCGTTCCATTCATTACAATTACAAAAACAAACAATTGTTTGAATCCAAATTAATTAGGTTTAGAGAGCTAATACATAAAGCAATAGCACATTTAAAGTTGCAAAATTATGGCTCATGAACTCATGTGACCACATTATGTTATTAGAGCTCATTTCACTTTATTGTCATTGCACAGAGCACTGGTATTACGATAACAAAATGCATTTTAGCATACAGTATGTCGCACTATGAACAGTCTGGACACAGTGGTATCATCACACTAAGTATATGACTATAATAGCAGTATAGAATACAAGATAGATAATGTACATGTACAGGTATGGATAAATACTGGTATAAACAGTATCAGTGTTGTGGTTTCCGTTTTATGTACCTACTGTGAGCTGCACCAGCTTCCAACAAACTGCACAGATTTGCACAAATGTTTCACAGCGACTGTCACATGTGTCTCCCAGCTCCAGGACCGACTACGGGAGAACACCCTGAAGTGGAGGGAGCACCCTGATGGGAAAGTCTTCCACGAGGAGGTTTCTTCAGTAACCCAGCCTGCATGTTAGTTCAGCTCCTCAAACGCCTGCGTAAAGTGTAACAGCGCCTTCCTGTGTTTGAGTGTGTATATGACTGTCTTTATGTAGAGAGAGTGTGACATTTTATGGAGGCTGACAGCTCTTTCCTTTAGTCAGTGTGAACTCTTTTTACCCACTGGTTTTGTGAGTGGGTGTAGTTTCACTTGCAGCACTCACAGTAGTGACAAATTTGCATTTTGAAAACACAATCCTACATACTGACTTTTTCCAACCTTCACTGGTCTGTACTGTTTATTTTCTGAGTCTCAGGAAAAGCGATCTTTACTCATTTCATCCCGACTTGATCTACCAGAACTTACATTGCCTGTTATCTTTGTTGTTTTATTCTATGTGAGATAAGTAACAAGTACAAGTTTATTGCTGGGGTGTATTGACTCTTTAACACATGCAGGAGGTGACTAACTGACATTTACCTCCTGCTTGCATCTTTGCTAACTGGATTTTATAAAGTATTCTCTAATTATTACAGTTGTCACAACACCAAATCATGTCTTCATTGTGATATCTGATTAAATAAATCAATACAGATAATGAAACAATACCACAGCAAAACCTAAAATACAAGGAAAAGTAGATAAAAGCGCATGAAACTTGAAATTCTTTTTCCTTACTAGACATTTTAAGTACACACTTTTGCATGAAGTCAAGGTGCCTAAATGACTTGTGGTTGACTCTAAATCCAGGAGACCATCATTCACTTTCTGAGCCCTGACCAACTCACCATTAATATCATTATTGCAATAATACATTTTTATGAAAACTATTTAGATCGCAAATTATTTTAAGAGAGCCTGTGCTAAATAATTTTAATTTTAAGTGAAATTCAACTAAATTAAAAACTAGAAAATGCAGGTCTCTGCCAAGAATGTGTACTGATTTGAATCATTTGTATTAAGTCGACTGTAGTGAGCAGGCTAATAATCCTGGTTTAATTTTCATCATGAAGTGCTAGACTTGCAGTTAGTCATTTATATGTTCATGCTCAATGAAATTTTAGTTTGTATGCAGTAAAAAATTTATTTTATTTCTTTTCTCATATATGTAGGTATTTTTTGACAATGAGTTTGTAGATTTTATACCATTAATTTTTAAATTCTTGTATATAATTAGATCAATATCATAGTGTTATTACAACTTTTATATAGTATGGAATAATCCAATGTCCTCTGTATATATTATGTAATTTCTTTTATAGTTAATTTTTTTTCGCAGCCAGATAGCACTTTTAAAACAGCAGAACAGAAGAGAAAGAATAGAAATAATTACTGATAATAATGTAAATACCATTTTTACCTTTGCCAGTAGTGAGCATAAATAGATCATTATAATGAGTGTTGTTGATCTGCATGCTTTGATTTTTAGTAGCCTGCAGTAACATGAGTTAATGTTACTTGTGTGAAGGCTATGTTCAGTGAGTTAGCTGAGAAAAATGAGGCCAAACTAAAGCATTTTCATTGATCTTACTTCACTACTTCATCAACATCAGATGGTGAAAAAAAGTTTGCTTCTTACAAAATGAATCACACTCGTTTGGCTTACGTTTGAAGGCATGATTTAGATGGGGGCACTGTCAGTCTGGACAAGACCACTCCTGTCAGGATAGAAAGATTTCATCATAGGATGACGGTGATCGCTCAGAACAAGTTTGTATTGATCTGCAGCAAAGTGGCCCCAAATCATGTTAGCAAAATGCCCCCCCAAAAATATAACAGAGCTACCAAATCCCCTGATCAAGGGTTCAGACTATTCCTTCTGGTGAGATAAAATGGAACACGTTCTAAAAACAATAATTTATAGAATCACTCCAGCACATCACCTCCGAAATTCATACAATCCTATAAACATGAACTCCACAATATACTGAAGAATAAATAAAGAATAATCAATCACAGCATTAATGACTCCATCTCAAACACAATTTGTCCTGAAAACACTTTTTTTTTTTTTTTTGCAGATGCTACAGGCAAAATGGTACACCTTTTATTCTGTTAAAATAGTTCACCTTATTTTTTGATAATAAAAACAAAAACAATTAAGGAACATAAGTAATGTCAACATTTTAATGTCTTTAAATTGCCATGAAATGAAAACACAGCAACTCAACTCATGACTCACCACGTAGGTCTGCTTATTCATTCACAGAAAAATATTCACATAGTTATTATATACATGTTACAAGAAGAAGTAAAATGCCAACTATTAGCTAACTGGATTTTTGTTTTATTGGTGTGGTAATAAGTTCTAAGTAGATGAGCTAAAACATGGCATTGCTACCTCTTCTTAGCTTAGGTATCTGATAACATGCAGTATTTTAAAGAAATTAAATTTGATCCAATTCAGAAATGTGATTTCTTTTAAGACAGCATGCATTTTGTGATCCTCAAAAAAGTGTGTGTGTGTGTGTGTGTGTGTGTGTCCCATCAAAATGACTCAGAGCAGTGTCCCATCTTAACAGTACACAATTTGCAGCAGGGGAAACTGACAAAATGTACATTTTTCAAATGGGGAAAAAGGCGCATAGAATTTATTCTAGGCAATTTTGATAGATCATTACATCCCACCACAACCAAATTTAAATTAAAAGTGAATATTTGTTTTTACATTTTTACAATTTTAACTGTTCTAATGTCAGAGCACTATGTCAACTGAATAATCATTAAAACTGTGGGATCAGGTGTGATTGCCTGTGATGCCACACCCATTTTTATGACATCATCACCATGTGAACTTTTTCTTCTCCATCAAGTGCGTTTCCGGCAGTGCCCAAGTCAAGGTGTAGGGTTATTTTCTGCACTCCCTAAAAAGCTACTCATTGCAAAACTTAAACTGATGTCCCATTTATATTTATATTTTTTTTTAAATTTGAGTTGATATATACAAAATCCCCTCAAAAGTGCTGATTTAGGTAATAAATACATGTGTTTGATAATGTTTTATCATATAATTGTGACTTTTATGTGCCATTAGAAAGGTCCCTGTGGCTCATAATGTCGCTGTATTTATCTTAATCATTAAATGTGTGTTAGTTCCATACTTATTTTTTCTACAGTTTGTTTATCAGTTCATTTGCCTGTTTTCCACCAGCAGCTCCAGCTTCACGGCAGCTTAGCAACCCGGTTGCTGCGCAACGACACAAGTTTGTGACCACAGCGGCGCTTCTGACAAAATATCTAATCAGCAGATGTGACTCAGGTGTGCCGTTAGCTAGCATGTTATAACCCGGCTCTGAAGGCGAACTTCGCTGTTCGGACCCGACACAGACACTCCTTGTAGCTACGCGGAAACAACTTGTTGGGGCTTAAGGATGTGTGTCTGGGTTTGTTTCTTAGTTTGCGTTTCGGTCACCGGCTGGTTTTTGACCGCCGAACAAATTATGACCGGCGAGCCGCACACAGTTCCGGTCAACAACTGTCAGGTTTTGAAGGAAGCTCGATTCGCTGTGGCTGAATTCAACAAAGCCAACGTACAAGAGCAGTTTGCCTACAAAGTTCTGAACATTACATCAGCCAAAATGCAGGTAAAACTTAACTCAGGAGGTACGTTCGTTAAAGTTGAACATATGTCAAGAAGTGCTGTGATTTTTGTGTAGATAGTCGCGGGGATAAACTACATCCTGGAGGTGTGGCTGGGACGAACTGTGTGCAAGAAAAGCCACACTGCTGACAGTGAGCCATGTGCTCTTCACCCTGAACCCAAGGCAAGTTCAAGATTTAAGGTGGTGCACAAGTCACACAGGTACCACAGACCTTACTTTTCTGTAAGAGCTAAAATGAAAGCACTAATTTGCCATTTGTTTCAGGAGTGCCAGTGTCACTTCATCGTTACAGACGTCCCTTGGGAGAATTCACGTGCACTTACTCTGAATAAGTGTCACCCAAATTAAAAAACTAACACCCTGATGTGCTGCTTGCTGCTGGTCCTGCCAAGTAAACGGTTATCAATGAGCAGTGTCTTGGTGTGTGTTGATACTCAAATGCCATAAAGAGTGCTTATTAGCATAATGTGCACACCCTGAATTTATAACAGCATGAGCATAAACCAATGATTTCATTGGCTCCCAATCTGTGCCACTTGTTCCAACACTGAGCTGAATAAGTTCAGTGACCTGCACTCACTCTGCATTGTATAGGGCAAAAAAATGGCATAATTATTCCAGTGAGTGACCGGGGCAGCTTTACTGTGCCTCATCTCTCAGTGTGTGTCCTGGCAGCTGTAAGGCTCTGGTTGCGTGTCAAGCTTGGTCAGACACATGGCTGCTAAACTGAGATGAGGCTACACCTCTCAACACTACAACCGCGGTCTCCAGAAGGGCTCTGTATGGAGGATTACAGGCATTTTCAGATTACTGCTCAGCAAGACTGAACTGTCTGCCGCTCTGACCCCCTTTTTTTTTTTTTTTTTTTAAATAAAAACAGGATGAAATAAACAACTCACTGATGTTGTGTATATGGGAATAAAAGCAAACGGCACAGGGAGAAATTGTGAAATGTAGGTTGAGGGCATTTCAATGGGTGTAGTTAGTGTGGGGCAGAAGTGGTGTGTGCGTATGCAGATATCTGATCTAGTACAGTTCCAGGGGGTTTTCCTTCCTTCTGGAGCTGCGATTTGATTTCAAATGCAAGAGAAAATGTGGAGGAAAAAGAAGCTAAAATACGTCGTCGCTGTTAAAAAAAAGAAAAGCAAGATATTGCTAAGTGGCGTGGGGGCAAAAGGGGCTGCGTCTGTTTGGCTTTGATTACAGTAAGCAGCCGCGTGGATAAGCGGTTCACACACCCTCTCACCCAGCCCATAATGTCTCTAATCGTGGATGTCTTAATCAAACTGAGCGAAACATAAAGAATTGGCTGGCACTGTGCATTAGGTAGCAGGGGTTAGGAATGTGGGGGAAGGGGGATACTCCTTAATGTGGGATGACTAACATTGAAGCTCCAGTGCCAGGAGTATGCCCTGTCCATCTGCCATTCCACTCACCCACCCACCCACTGACACACTAACAGGTGCATGCACGCAGATACACGTGTGCTTTCCGTGCACGCGCTCGCATACTCCACCCCGCACTCTGGCCCTACCCCTGTCCTCACTTAGCCTGGGCAGCAGATGGTGAGGGGGGTAAGGCTTGTAGCCCCCCCTCCTCCCTCCCTCCCCACTCCAAGCCACCAGCCCATCACCCCGTATTTTTTTAAATTTTTTTTTTCCTCCCATGAACACCACCCCACCCCTCTTTGTGTTGTTGAAGAGCCTGAGTGTTGAAAGGCGAGCCCCAGCTTGTCTCCCCCCCCACAAATCCTTGGCTGGCTGCCATTGGCGGGACTCAGTCAGGTGTCCTAATGCTTCAGTTAGGGGAGGAAACGCTGGTTAATCTGCCCATCGCGTGCCACCAGCCATGGCCTGGCCTCTTTGTGTCTGGCACCCCTCTGATCAGTCCCTCCACCCCTTCATCTGTCTTTCCCCCTTCTCTTCCAACCCAGTTTCTCTAACCCAAGACGGTGTCATCCTTTCTTAAGGATCAACCCCTCTGTCTCCTCAAGATGTGTTTTCAGCTACATTCTTTACAGACAAATCCAGCAGTTTTGGCTGTTGTCCTGCACCACTGTTGATGGATGTGACCATTTCGTTGTTGTGATCAGTCATTGAGCCCTTCTTTGTTTTGTGCTGACTCATCACAGGCATCCACTGTACCTGCAAATGCACCTTACAGGAAAATTATACTCTTCATCATTATAACTTGTGGTGCTTCTTGCCTGCAATCCATACTGAGGCTTTTCAGTGCATACCATGAGTTAAGATGTATAACTTCAGCCGTTACTAGATTTCGCTTCTTGTGTTCCTCCTGAAAACACGATCGGAGTCATGCTCACTGACCTCATTGTCAAGCCCAAGTCATAGTACATCATTGTGAAATACTGTCGGACATTTATGATATTAAAGTTGCTTCTTAAGAATTACTTGAAGTTGATACCAATATGAAACTGATACATTTTGAAGTAGGATATTTATTCACTAGTGGTTAGATATCAGGTCTTATCTCCTATTTCAGCTTTTATATTTCACAATAAGGGAATCATCTCATGGGCTCTCACCTATCTGGTGCTACAAAGGCGGCATCACCTCGTGCTCCTGGAAGGTGCACTGCTCTGATTAGGATGAATAATGCTTAGATGCTATTTGGAGGAGGCTGATATGGGGCGGTTGCGTAACCAGAGAGGAGTCATTACCATTTGACCCCTTCTGACCTTATTTTTGATTGACCTCTGGTTTGGTCACCGCTTCAGAGCACAGCCAGGAGTATAAGGTCAGAGTTCAAAGTATCCTCAGCTGTGCTGTCATGGAAACGGCAGCGTTTGCTCTTCTGATGGTCAGTTTTAATCTAAGGACAGTGGTTCATTCAAAACAAAGAGTTTGATTGGCTGTTATTTTATCTCACTTTTGAATGGTTTCGTGTTTCTGACTTTAAGGTTCCAAAACGGCATGTTTTGTTTTGTTTTGTTTTGTTTTTTTACATTCAACTACAGTCAAACTTATGACATTAATCTTTGTGGAGTGATATCAGATTTGATAATATTGACGCTCACGTGTGCGTACTGGCACCTCGTGATGCTTCCCGAGCTGCTTCTCGAGCTGCTTTGCGGCTAATGTGGCTGCAAAACGTCTAAAACTGCTTGTTCGTATGCTCTTGCTCTTTACTGTATTGTTTTTGGTGTTTACCTGCTGTTTTTGTATTTTACGTGCGGTGTTCGTGTGTTCGTAACGTGTACGCTGTGCAGAACAGCAACGATCCCCCCTCTTAGTGTTGTGACCAAAGCTCGGAGTCCGCCATTGTGGTCAATCGAAACACACCCGCGGTTTGTTTTTCCACTTCCTGTTTGTGACCAGTGTACAGGGTTTCCTTGCAATCAGTGCTGCGGCAGGGGGGGGGGGAGGAAAATCAATATTTTCAATGTAATGTGTGGCCAATGGAATAAGAGAATGATTTATGTAGGGATGGCTACTCCCTGAATCAGATGGGGTTTGTGCTTGGTGGCCGGATGAATGAAGGGAAGGAGGGGTGGCGGCACAGCGACCCAGAGCAAGAAGAACTACAAAAGGTTAAAAAAAGAAAAAAAAGTGCGCTTTGCTGCTGCTGATCGTGGCACCACTCCTCGCTTCTTTCTGCTGTCCCTCTTCTCTCTTTTCATCTCTCTAACCCACCATGCTCTCTGACTGTCCCACTTAATCTTAGCGCTGTAGTATTATGAGACTAAAGACCAACGGGACACAACACACACACCAGGAGTTTAGCAGGTTGTGGACCACCAGCCAGAAACAGCATATGTCCCTCTCCTCTCCAGATTAATGAGAGCATGTTAATATTACGATACAGTGGGAGAGGAGGGGATAGGGGCAAGGAGTACAGAGGGGTGGGAGATGAAAGGTAGAGGGAGAGTGTAGGAGCCTGGCAGACAGACTGAGATTCAGAGGGAAGCACGAGGCAAGAGGAACGAGAGCAAGTCTGCGAGGGAAGGAGGGAGAGCGCAAGTCTTGGAAAGAGACAGAAAGATGGAAGTGTGGAGGCGGGAAAGAGCGAGAGAAGCGAGGACATAACAACCATAGAAAAATGTGCGTGTGTGTGAGTGTGTGTGTGTGTGTGTGTGTTTGCTTTATTGCAGTGGCCCCACCTACCCCTCCATCCTGTTAAGGAGGCACAGTCCTAAGGAGGAGGGGTAGGATGGTAGGATCCCCTCCCTCAGCCACCGACACACACACATACTCTGGCTCATACACACACTCTGCTCTGTGAGGGAGCAGTCGCTGAAGAGCTCTGGATAGACCATGCAAGGTTCTGCAGGTGTCCCACCCTTCTCTCATGACATGGATGCTTTAGGAGGTACTATTTGATTTTGTTTCCTTCTCCTTTCTGCCTTTTCTGCCAATTCTTACTCAGTTTTCCTTGGTTTTCTCTCTCTCTGCGCTCGTTCGAAGATTTCTTCTCTTCATGTTTCAGAGTAATCCGTGAGCCTCTGCTGCTAATGTGTATGTGTTTGTATGAGATTGCATGTGCGTTTGTGTAAGACTGAATGCGTGCTTGTAGGGTTGTTTACAAGCTCCACTGTAGCCGCAGGTCTGACAACTTTAGAGCGATTCTATTAGCTGCATGTGTTTCATCTCGGCTTTATTTTATTATCCCGTAATGTATTTTTCAAAACAAATTTTATAGGGTTCACAGCTTTGGCTGCTTGTTGCATTATTTAGTCTTGCATTTTATTATTTTTATTGGCACTCAACTCTAAAGGGTGGAGGTAGACAAAGCGCATTATGTATGCCCTGTATACACCCTCTATATGCGTATTCATGATGTTTGGGTAGAGGCTTTTAGTCAAAACAACTCCAGTTGGAATACATGGCACCATCTTTACAGCAAGAGTATCATTTTTTTTTGGCTGTGATAGTGATAATGGAGACTGTGAAAGAGTTGGAGATGAGCAGAGGGCTTTTTGGGAGTTTTTTTTTTTAGTTGATTTTCACACTACACAGTATTCTTTGAATAGTAATATAATAAGTGGTAAAGTTGTGCAGTGCTGCGTATTTTTTGTCGCTTCATCATAAAAAAGTGGATTTGAGTATCATATAAAGATTTAATTCGTCAAAGGCCAACATGGTTTGTTGAAGAGAAATAAGGTTGATGGCAGCAAAGATAGCTAATATTCATATAACGAGGGTGTGTGTGTGTGTGAGAGAGAGAGAGAGAGAGAGAGAGAGAGAGAGCACATGTCTTGCATGTAACGTGGTGTAGTGGCACCCACTACACCCCTCTTCTGTTAATGCTGGAGGTGGAGGCACAGTGAAAAGCAACCCTCATCTTTTACATTGATGAGTATATTCACTATGCGCACTTTATTTCTATATTCAGCAAATCTTAAATTCTATATTCATTATAAATCTATATTTTACCATCTTCAGTTAATTA